GGTGACTCACCCGCCTCAGCCTCTCAAAGTGCTGGGATTACAGGTGTGAGTCACCACACCTGGCCCATACACGTTTTTATTAACCACAGTTAAATGCATTTAGAAATCCATAGTACTGATTAAAGGTAGCAACCACCTTACCCCCAATGCCCAGGCTGCACTTAACATAGCTCTCAGCACAAACCACCACCTTCAGGGGGTTGTGCCTCGTGCTGGGGACAGTCAGTGACATAGAAGCCATGCTCCCGTATCGCCCGGTAGAGTGTGATGAACTTGGACGCCAGCCTTGTCCGCGGGACTACGTACTTCTCCGTAAATTCACTCTTGTCCAGTTGCTGTCTACCTTCTGCCATCAGAACGCAGTTAATGAACGTGAGTGTGTAAGTGTAGCAGTTGTGGTGGTCTTCTTCATACCTTACGGAAGAGAACAAGGGTGTTGAGAAGAAAAGGCTGCTCAGGAACAGGCCGTGAAGCTACCCATCAGGTGCCTCAGCAAGCAAGGCCTCTGCTGGTTCATGTGGTTAAGAAGCTTCAAGATGTGCACTTCAGGCCAGGTGCAGTGGCTCACACCTGTAATCCCAGCACTTTGGGAGGCCAAAGTGGGAGGATCACTTGAGGTCAGGAGTTCGAAACTGGCCTGGCCAGCAAGGTGAAACCCTGTCTCTACAAAAAATACAAAAGTTAGCTGGGCATGGTGGTGCACGACTGTGGTCCTAGCTAGTTAGGAGGCTGAGGCAGGAGAATTGTTTGAACCCAGGAGGCAGAGGTTGCAGTAAGCCAAGATCGTACCACTGTACTCCAGCCTGGGTGCATAGGAGGTTTAGCAATAGGGTATATAAGCCTGTCCCAAGCTTCAATTATAATGTTTCACCTACAAGCTCCTTCCCATCCTATTCTTTTCATGTTCACTTCAGACCCTAACTACAAAGCCTGGCAGAACCTTCATTTGATGCTAATCAGAATCATGAAGCCCAGATTGTTTTGGGCTTCATGTAATTCTGGGGGATGGTTGGTCTCTGGGCATCTGCTTGCTGCAGATTGGCATAGATTCACCCAGATGTTCAGAGTGGTTACTCAGTTGCAAGTTAACTACCAATTTGTGGAACTCATTGAACTTCTAGATTTCAGAGATGGAATTCCATATGAGTTTTATGATATTCCATAGTATCCAAACTTATTTCAAGGGAAACCTCAAAATAAATCCACAAATATGCTATACATCTTATAAAATGTTGAGAGTGAGAAATTAACTTGAAATTGCTAAAATTACAAAAAAGAAGCTTTTACATTTTGAACATTGTTTTTTGTTTTTTTTTTGTTCTGTTTTTTTGAGACGGAGTCTCACTCTGTTGCCCAGGCTGGAGTGCAATGGCGTGATCTCAGCTCACTGCAACCTCCGCCTCCTGGGTTCAAGTGATTCTCCTGCCCAAGCCTCCCAAGTAGGGACTGCAGATGTCCGCCACCACGCCTGGCTAATTTTTGTATTTTTAATAGAGACGGGGTTTTACCATGTTGTCCAGGCTGGTCTCGAACTTCTGACCTCAGGTGATCCACCTGCCTCAGTCTCCCAAAGTGCTAGGAATACAGGTGACAGCTACCGTACCCAGCCTGAATATTGTTTTTTTAAATTTTTGTTTTAAAGAAATACATCGTGACTTGCTATATATGTGTAAAAATACCTTGTCACACAACTGAAATAACTGAATACAGATTCTAGTCCTTTCAGCTCTTAAAACGCTGTAATTTTGTTATATGTGTGTGCTGACCCAACTGCAGAAAATCTAGAGTAGTTCAACCCCTGTTTAAATTCTGTTAGCGATGTTAATATCTCTGTATCGGCTCAACGTGAAGCTAAATGCTGCGGAGTCCTCTGTGAGCTGAGGCCACACGGGGATCCCACTTGCATAGCATGTGAGTGCCAGCGAGGGTGCAGCATTTGCAGTTGTGTACCTGTGAGGCAGCCAGGTCCCCGAGGTGGAGAAGTCTTCCAGGTACTTGTCCCATTGCTCCATCATTCCATACATGTGGGGCTGCAGTAATGGGATGCTTATGCTCTGTTCCCACCCTGCTCCATCTCGCTGGACACCATGTGCACCGTAGTTATACACAACCCCTGCAAATCAAAACCAAAGTCATGTGGCGCCTCAAGGAGACACACACGTCTGTGAAAAAGGGACATCAGAAAATGACAGTAGCCATGTGGTAACTTTACATAATATAAATCCAGGGTGGAGGTTCTAGTATCTTTCTTCCGCCTAATGAGATTTAGATTTGCCTAGAGTCAGGGAGGGGTTTATGTGGCCTTCCCTGTTACTAGCAATCATTTCCTTGAGAGAAACCCAGTTCTAGCTCTACCTGCTGTTCAGGGCTGTGAAGTTGTCCCCAGGAAACAGAGACAATAATAGGTACCAGGATCATCATCTCCAATATTTTTATTGAAGTTCTGTATTTACCAATGGGTCAATCTTATCTCCTTAAATCAAGAATAAATGTCCACCTGCTAAAGATGAGTGGTAAGTATGACTGTTCTTGTGGGTAACTAAGTTCAGAACCGTTCTGGATTTCTAATCAGTGTCACTTTCTCTTGCCTCAGTGGGTAAGGAAAGGCTGTTATTAGACTTCACCTGTGAGGCCTGGCTAGGTGCCTCACCTGCCTCACCATATCCAGGCTACATATCCTGCAGGTGGCTCCATCCAGGCCCTTTTCCTGCAGACAAGAAAGCTTCTGGCTGAAGGGTTGCACACACTGCCCT